AGAAGAAGAAGAAGAAGAAGAAGAAGAAGAAGAAGAAGAAGAAGAAGGAAGAGAAGAAGAAGAAAGAAGGGAGGAGGAGGAGGAGGAGGAGGAGGAGGAGGAGGAGGAGGAGGAGAAACAAAGAAAACCAAAGTCCAGCAAGGCAGTGGTGGTGCCACCTTTAATCCTAGCACTTGGGAGGCACAGACTGACAGATATCTGTTAGTTCAAGGCTAATCCAGTCTAAGCTGCAAAATCAACAAGAGCTACACAGTAGGGCTGTGTATTAAAAAAATAAAATAAAATAAATTGTGTATTTTAAGAAGTTACAAATACAGTTGATCCAAATTTCATTAAAATATGTTATGAATCTGACTTTCAAGTTGTCTTAGTCACTGTTCTTTTGCTGTGCAGAGGCACCATGACCAAGGCAACTGTTATAAAAGATAGCATTCAATTGTGCATTTGTTTTCAGTTTCAGAGGGTTAATCCGTTATTATCATAGCGGGGTTATGGCAGGAGCTTGGCGGCCCTCGTGGCTTTGGAGCAGTAGCTGAGAGCTACCACCGCTGAGTAGAGAGGCAAAGAAACTGGGCCTGCAAGAGCTTTTGAAACTTTAAAGTCTAGCCCTAGAGACACACTTCCTAATTCTTCTAATGCAATCATCCACTCCCTGGTGACTAAGCATTCAAATGTGTGAGTCTAGGGAGGTCATTCTTTTGTTTTGTTTTTGTTTTTCAAGACAGGGTTTCTCTGTGTAACCTTGGCTGTTCTGGAACTCACTGTAGACCAGGTTGGCCTTGAACTAAAGAGATCCATCTGCCTCTGCCTCCTGAATGTTGGGATTATAGGGGTGCATCACCACCACCTAGCTTTGAGGTCAGTCATTCTTATTCAAACCACCACAACACTGTCATATGTATGTACATATACACATACATACATACATATATAATATGTGTATATATATATATAAATTTCCTGTGATATGAACCAAATTCAGGTGTCCTAGTATCTGTTGAGGGAAATAAGAATAGGTAACCATACTTCTTTAACATAAAAGTTATTTGAGCTGCACTGGACACCACCCAGTAGTTAGAACATGCACTGCTTTTGCAAAAGACCTGAGTTCAGTTCTCAGAACTTGTATGAGCTCACAACTGCCTGGATCTCCAGCTTCAGAGGACCTGATGACTCTGCCAGCCACAGACACTCACTTGCACACAGCTACACACATAAAGATATACACATATACCTAATTTGCCAGCCCAGACACGGGCTCAGAGGGACCCACATGGACTGGCTTTACCAACAGGCTCTGTGTGTCATTTGTCCGCATTCCATTATTTTCCACTCTAGGGGCATGAAACCCTTTTCTTCACCCAGCCAGGTGCTGTGCAGCTGTCATCTCACCCACAAAGAGACAGAGGAAAGGACCTAGAGTTTGAGAGTAGCCTGAGCTGCAGAGTAAAAGCTTGTCTCAAAACAAAAGACAAAAACCGTGAGTGAAAACAACAAACCCTCCAAAGTCCTTTTCCTTTGTCCTCTCCTTTTTCTAAACGTTTGCTGTTGTCTAGTGAAGATTTGTATCAGCTGGCAATCTGAGTAACCCTTTGGAAATGACTCTTCCCCTGGGTTCCCCCTGTGTGTGTGTGTGTGTGGGGGGGCATTCACACCAGCCAGCCTCCAGGTTTTTTGTCTTAATGCTTTTCCTTTCATTGTAGGAGTCTGTTCCAGCTAAGAACTCACAGGGCTGAAGGAAGATTTATCATCTGTCTCAACCCCTGTACCGTTTTCAATTGTTACTGTGTTTTCACTGAGTCAGTCTTCACTGCCCAAATTTTGTAACTTTGAACCACAAAAGATATTTACGTAGTACAATAAAATACTATGTTTTTTATATCAAGGTTTCTTGGACTTTTGTGTCTGCTCTCAAAAGCTATAATCTGTAGCTTCAGACTCTTCTGCCTCAGCCTCCCAAGTTCTGGGAACACAGCCTCATGCCGCCACATCTGACCTAACTTCGGGAGTTTATATAGAAAAAGGATGTTCAGTTTTATAAACTGCCAAGAGCCTTGAATTGGTCTGCCCCACATTTTTGCAGGGATGGGTGAGGGAACCTGCCCTTCACATCCAAGTAATCAATTTGGTCAGCTTACTGGTATTAGAGGTTCTGATTGCCGGGTAGTGTTATCTCCTTATCTCTCTGTTTGTTTATTTTTGGGATAGGCTCTTACCATGTAGCCTTGGCTGTTCAGGTGTAGGGCAGACTGGCCTTGAACTGACAGCTCTCCACCTGAGTGCTAGGATTAAAGGTGGACACCACCCAGTCTGGCCTGCTTTTTTTCTATTTTTTAAAACTGGAATGCTTATTTTCTTAGTATTAAAGTTGTTCTTAGATTGTTCATTGAAGATAGACTGTTTTTTCCTTCAGTAGTTCCCAGTTTACCGTTACTGTGACCTTTCTTCCTGAAGAAACAGCTCTTCAGAGGAGGGTCTCCTTCCCTGCCTTTGGAGGTCCTATGAATGCCTAAAGTGCAATTCAGAAGGGGAAATGGAGATATTTTGGATAATTCTTGTGTTTAAAAGCACCAAGCTTGACGAACATATAGAATATATATATTCTGTCTTTCAACTCTAGATTTGCAAAAGAAATGGTAATCAAGAACGCTCAGTAAAGTGTCTCTTGAAGCAAATGCATTGCACACTATTATGAGTGTGAAAAAATAACAAGTCACATGGCCTACACATCTGAGTATCTGCAAGCACTCCCTCTGCTTCCCCCATCTTTGACAGATTCTGATTTGATTATGAGAGGACGACAAAACTCCAGGTTGTCTCCATTTTAGGACCAGGCCTGACTTTAAATAAAAGTCCTCAGTCCTAGGGACTAGGCTGTAGGTCACCAGCTCCAGAAACAGACCATAAAACCCCCAGCCCAAGTTTGGAGATAACCACAGGAATGGGAAGATATCTTATCTTGGAATGGGGCATCTATGCTGGGAAGCCTTATCTCATTCTGTAGTAAAACATTCATGGCACAGGAATGCGGCCCACCGGCCACCTGGATGCAAACCAGTCAGGAGTTGTCACTGTAACTTCTCTGGCACCCACCGATGAGGTTTTAGATTACCTAACTCTTGCTAGAATTCCCCTAGTTTCCTATAAAAAGGCCTGCATACCTTTGCTGGGGTCCATTGCCACATACGTGTGTGTTTGTGTGTGTGTGTGTGTGTGTGTGTGTGTGTGTGTGTGGTCTGACCCTTGCATTTGGGTTTCTAGCTTTGAGAAATACTTTTGTGTGTGGTGATCTCTGTGAAGAACTCTCAGACTTAACAATTTCTAGATAAAACAGAGACAGAACCCAGAAGAGCAAGCAAAAGAAGCCACTGACGGCTACCAAGCTGCAATGGAAAAGGACCAGAATTTTCTCTTCTATATCTATACAAATACACAGTAAGTATCCATAGACATGCATGTCAACAGCAGCATGAAAATGGAGCTTTCTGGGTGTGGTGGTGCATGCCATTAATTTCAGCACTTGGGCGGTAGAGGCATGCAAATCTCTGTGAGTTCAAGGATACTTTGGTCTAAATAACAAGCTTAGATAAGCCAGGACTGTCAGCTAGCCTTGAATCCACACCCTGCCTATTTTACTTCTTAAAAATCTTGGCTGGGTTTGGTGGTGCATGCCTGTAATCCCAGCACTCAGGGAGGCAGAGGCAGGCAGATGAGTGCAGGACAGTCAAGGCTACACAGAGAAACCCAGTCTTGAAAAACCAAAACCAACCAACCAAACAAACAACAAACAAACAAACAAACAAACATTTATCTTAAACTGGGTGTGGTGACCACACCTCCTTAGATCCCAGCACTCTCATTTCCAGGCTTGGTTTATCACTCAAGGTGAAGAAACTGAAAACTATCATTCTAACAAATCAACTATTTTGAATTAAAGGCACCTGGGGAGCAGCAGTAAAACCAGGTGTGTTTAGTGTATGCCTCTAATCCCAACACAGGGAAGGCTGAGGCCAGTCTGGCATACACAGCGAGACCCTACCCCACCACCACCTTAGAAAAAGAAAGAAAAAAGAAACAACCCACCTAAACCATTGCCCCACAGAATGAGTATGTCAACCATGGTTAAGTTACTATCTTTTCAGTTTCTTAGGTCTTTGTAGCTCAGCATCTGACTCTGGGGAATGTAGCTATGCTGCGCCATGCCCACCTCACACTTTCAGTACTTCCAGGCAATTTGCTAAGCAGTTCGCATACGCCAGTTATTCAAGGAAGCAGGAGCCACATTCAAATTCTGTTTAATCTAGGGCTAGCATGAGCTCATATTCACAGTCGTTTGAACTTTTCTAAAGACTTCTGTTCGACTGTTTACTGTGTCAGCCTCCCTCGGGGCCCGGCGTTACAGCCACTTGCCATAATTACCCGGCACCTTGCGCTGTGCTTTGTTTCCTACAAAGAACGAAGGCCGTCCTGAAGGTACTGAGTTATCTCAATTGATCACAGTAAATGCTTGTGTTAGTGGACTAGAGGTCAAGGAAATGAAACTTCACCAATAAGGTCTCCTTGGTACCAATATAGAGAACATTTTTAACGTCAGCTAAACATTCTCAAAGCTACATACAAGTAAGGGGAAAAAAAAGTGGCTGCAAAGGCTGGGCAGAATCTTATGCAAATTTGTGGTGGGAAAATAGAACAACTGAAATCATTTTGTGAGCAACGCTTATTTCAGCACAGCCCCGTGTGAAAAAGCTGAGAAGGAGGCAATCAGAGGCAGGGCCAAGGGTGGGGGCGGGGCCAAAGGGCAAGGGCGGGGTCTCAACCGCGGGGAATGGACCAGGGACGCGGCGGGCACAAGGATACGGGGCGGGCCGAGGGATCTGGGCGGGGCCGCAGCGGCGGGGGCGGGGCTGCCGCGGAGCGGGGGGAGCTACGGAAAGCGAGCAGGCCGGTCTCCCGGGCCGGAGACGCCTGCGTTCGCCGCGGTTGTCGCAGTTCCGGCCGAACGGCCGCTCCGCGGGGCAAGCAGGTGGTAGCGGTGGGTGTCCCGCCGGCCCGGCTCCCACGGGCTCCCCGGCTGGCCCGGGCCGGCCGCCGCACTCACGGCGGCGCTGCCTCAGGAGCGGAAGGAGCTGCCGCCCGCTTCCCCCGAGGTCGGCGTCATGAGGAGCCTGCCGTTCTTCTGCCGCGGCGAGGTGGTGCGTGGCTTCGGCCGCGGCTCCAAGCAGCTGGGCATCCCCACCGGTGAGCGCGCCCCGGGGCCGGGGGCCGGGGCAGGCGACCCGGTGGCCGCTCCCTTGCCGCTGGCGACGGGCTGCGGAGCCCGGTGCGGGGAGGTCCTGCAGGTCGGGTCGGCCGAACCCTCAAGCTGTCGGAAGTTCTACTTAGATGTCACTGTGTGGTGATCGGAGACAACACGGGCAGTTCTGTGGGAGCCCGCGTTTATTTGGCCTGGCTGCGCGCGTTTTAGTAATCAAGACTTGATTGACCGTTCTTAAAAATGTTACCTCGGCTGCCCCTTGACCTATTGAAACAGTCTTTGAACTTGGGGTTTGGGGTTGTGGGTTTTGAAAATAAGGATCTTTTAAAAGTGACTCGGCCTGCTTAGAAACGTTAGCAGGAAAGAGCAAAAACAAAAGACTGGTTTGTTTTAATTCCAGCAGACCGGGTCTCGCTCGGTTTTTCCAGCTGCCGCCTACTTCCTGAGCTCTTGGCGAGCTCCTGTAGCCTCCGGAGTGGGGAGTAATCTACGGTGAACCTCCCCCGCTTTTAATTCTGTGTTTTTACTTTTGGACATTTTTGTGTGGCTTTTTTGAGAGATATATACACTTGCCCTGTGCCTCATTCATAACCCGTGCTGTCGTAAGAGAAGAAATCAAAGCCAGAATATGGAGGGTTGGATTGATCCCGGGAGTTGGAGTGTAAAGATTCAGGATAACCTTTTAATGTGATTTTAGCCGTTAATTAATATGAAACGTGTAACACTGAATATCTCTTTATTTCTTTTTAGCCAATTTTCCTGAACAAGTAGTAGACAATCTTCCAGCTGATGTGTCCACTGGCATTTACTACGGTTGGGCCAGTGTTGGCAGTGGAGACGTCCATAAGATGGTCGTGAGCATAGGATGGAACCCATATTACAAGAATGTGAAAAAGTCCATGGTAAGAGTCACATTTTGCTCTAGTACATGTACGCAGAACTCCTCAGCATACTTAACATTTCAAGGTAAAGTATTGCCAGACATGGTGGTTCTGCTGAGCCTGGGTGACTGAGTGGTGTCACACACCTTTAATTCTAGCCCTTGGGAGGTGGAGATAAGTGGATCTCTGAGTTCCAGACTAGTTTATAGTTTCCAGGACAGCCAAGACTGCATAGAGAGACTCTGTCACAAAACAAAAAGAGCAGCCTGGACTGTATGCTATTTCTACTTTCTACATCTCTACTTTCTTGCTTCCCTTTACCAAAAGCATCTATTTATTTGAATAGAGTATTCCCCCCCCCCATGTTTTTGCTCTTATTTTGTTTCCTTTGAATAAAGTGAGTGTCCTCATAGAGGGTATGGTATATAGTTGGACCAGGTTTTTGTAATAATTTTCTGCTAACCTCTCTGCTTTTTGATTGACATTTTCTTAAAACACCAGCTGCTAGCTGGGTGCTTTTTTTTTTTTTTTTTTTTTTTTTTTTTTTTTTTTTTTTTTTTT